TCTCTCTCTCTCTGTCTCTCTGTCTGTCTCTCCCCCTCTCTCTCTCTCTCACACACACACACTCACACACACTTACACACGCACACACACACACACACACACACATAGACACACATACACACGCACACATTCACACACACACACACACACGTTGAAACACAAATATTAAAAGGCTCTGGAAAAAAATATATATATATATTTTTTCGATTCCTTGATTGTTTCCTTATGACAAAAAAAAGAAAAAAAAAGAAAAACATAAAAACGCAGAATACAAAGAACTGCCAACCAAAAATCCCCCCCCCAAAAAAAATTGGCTCTTCGGCCATACCCATCCACGATAAGCTCGGTATTCTCCTTGATCTCTATGTACTCGTCCGGGTAGATGCAGCAAGGGTCGTTTTCTTCCCTGTCCTCCTTCTTCCGCATGAAGCTTCCTATGATGGTATTGTTGATGGCGCCTAAGTCGTCAATATACCTGAAGGTGTCCGAGAAGTATGGGATCAGGTGCGCATTCCCAGTATCTGCCAGCCTCATCATAGCGTAGTACTTATACTTGAAAAAGTATATGTCGCACCATATCGAGAAGCAGGCCAGACCCATAGGGATACCTCTGACCTGCCTCCATACATAGTTCCCCATACGGAGCACACTGTTGGCAATGCACCACTCCGTGAGCCAGCAAACATCCTTCTCCGTGAACAACAGCGAATCCATACCCTCCGCTTGATCACTATCCACCCAGGAGGGCCAGAATCTGCCATCGTCCCCCACCCTGATTCGAATGATGTGGGTCGAGCTCCTCTCCCTCCGTATCCGCATCGCACACTCCACGTAGAATTTCACGGCCGCTGGTAGGCTGTCCTCCGAGTTGTCCGTGGGGATAGTCTCAAGACACCTCGTGATGTCCGCCGCAAGATAGAAAAGATTCTCTCGGGCAGGTTTGCACAGAATTCCCCCACAGAGGCTACTGACCACCACAGGTTCGGCCTCACACTGAATTGCTCCTCCACTTCGAGGCTCCTCTCTTGACAGAATGTCTGCACCAGGGGGAGAAGAAACCGCAGCAGACACGCACAAAGGTTTGCCACCGGAGAGACAACCGACCCTGCTGTGTTCGTGATCCAGCGGAACGCGTCCTTATGAGCCTTGAAAACTGTCATCAGGTAGGGTAGCGCTGGTGGTGCGGCTGGTACACCGACATGGCTGAAAGCTCGCCTTGTATACGCGCGATGACGGAAGCGGGGGGGGGCGGAGATGCTGACAAACTCAGGTCCGGACAACCTCTGAAACGCGAGCTTCCGGATGAAGTTCTTGCAGACGAAGGTCGGAGTGCTTGGAGCCTTATCCGTTGGGCAGATAAGGAATCAGCCGGTGAGGAACTCCAGTTCACGCTTGACGACCGGATGCTCGGAAGGTTGCGCGGTCACGTGCCTGTACTGCTCCTTATATAGCTTGTCATTTTCGCCCTCGCCTTCTTCAGGATTATCCTCCGCATAAATGCCTGTGTGGATGCCGTGAGTTCCCGCAGTTCCAGTACCGCCGCCATGAGCTTGTCCAAGAGCCCGGCCACCTCGCCCTCCGCCTTGTCCACGTCTAGGGTCATACAGGGGATGTGATTCAGCCCTCAGTTGATGATCCCTTGGAGAAGAGGATTGTCCGTGATTGACGAGTCCAACGTGATCACGTGCGTATGCCCTTCGCACTGGAGTAGGGTGATCGAAGCGTTGCTGCGCATGTCCGCATGCTTGCGCGATCTGCACTGGACACCGCTCGGGGTCATAGGCCTCCAACCACTGCGATGCATCGAAGTCGCAGAAAACCTCCATAGGGCTACATAGTTTTGAGGCGATACTGGTGTTGTAGGTCCAGCCGATCATGGCTCGCTCCAGCCACGTCGCCGTTTCATCAACGATTATCCTTGCCAGGACCTCATTGATGATCTTCCTGATGGAGAGCGGCTCCATCACTCTGCTTGTGTACCTCAAGTGTAGGAATGCATCGCAGTCCGACCGCTGTCTCTTCCAAGACCTTCGTCCGGTTGGCAACGTGATCATTTGTCCCGAGGTGTTGACGTTCGTACCTGGGTCCTGCGCTCGAAGGTCACAATCACAGGACAGGGGGAGTGCCGGAGGGGATAGTGAATCCAGAGGAACGTCGGGAAAAACCGGGGGGGAGAGAGAGAAAAAGAACGAGATCGGAGGACACGGGGAGGGGAGAGAGAAAAGGGGGAAGGAGAGAAAAAGGAAGGAAAAGGGAAGGAGGAAAGAAGAAAGAAGAAGAAGTTTACGGTCGTCTTTTCCCTTTTTCTTCGGAGGGTTAGGCGCGCGCCTGTCGCGCGTTGGTGGCGGCGCCCTCGCGTGTATTGCCCCTGCCTCTCGCACCCTTCTTCTTGCCTTTGCTTGTTCTCGTCAGCGTCGATTGTGCCGATCCCTCCGGTGAAAGGAGGACGACGGGTGGTGGAGTCAATCCCCTAATCACCATCATCGGTTGCTGCATGAGAGGGGGAGTAAAGGCATGGGTTCCCACTGTTCGTAGGGGCGCAGAAAGTGGGTTCACGATATGCATAGTGCACAGGTGATTCTCGGCAGCGGTCTGCTGTAACCCGGTGAGCAATATTGCGGGTTGTGAATGCGCAGGGGCGATCGGAGGGGGGGGAGGGGGAGGGGGAGGGGGAGAGTAGACGGCGAGAGAAGGGGGTGCGTTCGGAGGGGGAGTGTTCGAAACCGAAGTGACTCGGCGAAAGTTGAGTGTGGTCTGGCCCGGTACTTGCATGTTTGCATTTCTTTTCCGGGCAGCTGCTCGTGGAGAGCTGAGCGGGAATCTCGTAGGTTTCTCCGGGATTCGCGAGGGGAGCATAATTCGTGCGAGCAACGCGGGAATCGGGTAACTCCATAGACGCTCATCCTTTAGCACACCTTCGGTGTTGAGAGTCGCGTCCATTTCGAGCTCCTTGACATACACCACCATCAGATCCCTGACGAAGTGAAATCCAATGACAGCAAGCACCCCTTCCTTCCACGTGGTCCTGAGGTAGTGGATCAGCATCGAGGTTCTGATCTTTATCGATGACATCTTCGGGAATAATACGTCCGGGTGCGCAAGCAGGAACCACTAGGCATAATTGAACCACAGTGGGGTGTCACCTCAGCCTCTGTTCCTCTCCTTCTTGCATTTCCACTTTAGATAAGGTCTACCCATGCTCTAGATCTTCCTTATGCTCCTGAGATCTAACCTATCCTGCTGCCTGATCGCCTTCTGCCACATCCCGAAACTTGTTTCGCCGCACTTGTCCAGATCAAACGCACGCATGGATGGGAACTTAAGGTCTTGGGGATCCAGTGGGGGGACCCTACGAGAGAACCTCAGCTTACTTTTCAATACCTGCGCCCTGCATTCCTTTACCTGTGCGTCCGTGATATTGCCTAGGAACTGGAGTGCTCTGATGGAGATCTGTGCAACGTGGTTAAACGTCTCCATCTTCCAGATCGCATGTCTGAATGCAGTGGATGTGTGCTCCACCCAGTAGGCGGAAGTCATGGGGGCGAATGCTGTATACCTGTCCTGTTCCGAAGCGCTGTCAGCTGCCGGGCTGTCCGTAAGGGGGGAGTTTCTCATGGTGGTTGCAATGGCCACGATGGCTCGCTCCATCTCCTCCCTCTCTTCTGCTTCGATCACAAGATCGTCGCATTTCGTAGTCCGACTGCTCTCTGCTACGTGACACCCGCGGCCGCATTTTGGCTGCTGCGGCCAAAAATCTCGGCCGCGGCCGCGGCCGATGAGGCCCGGTGCGCGGCCTGGTTTTTTTTTTTTTTTTTTTTTACCCCTAAAATACTCAAAAGAAAAAAAAATAATAAATGGGGGTGTAGGGCTTCGAAAACCCTACACCCCTATTTTTTTTTTTTTTGGATCCGACTTTGTTTAGGATTTTTAAAAAATCAAAAACAAAAATCGATTTAAGCATGATTAAAAAAAAAAAAAAAAACAACCAGGATTTATTTTTTTTGACATTTTTTTTTCATGAGATATATGGTCCCTGA